CAGCAGAGTGGACAGGGTGCTGTGCTGCTTCACAGCGGTCTCCATCCCTAGGGCAGGGCTGGCAGCTTGAGCATGGGGTGTTCAAAGTTCCCCGGAGCTGGGCATGGGGGAGGGTGTGGGCCAGTACTTCCGCTGGGGTCTGTCCCGTGGCAGGAGCCGTGGTCCAGGAGCAGGAGCTGCTTAGCAGGCCAGAGCGGTCACGCACACAGCCCCCGGGGCTCCGAGGGAAGGGGCTGGGACAGCTCCTGAGGGCAGTCCTGGCTTCTGGGGCTGTCGTGGGAGGCCTCCGCCCAGGGACTGGAGCACGGTGCAGCTGCCGCTGTGCTGTCTCGCCACACCCTTGAGGGGGCAGGGAGCAGCACCCCATTTCCTTTCAGGTGGGGACGGGACTCAGGGTTCAGTTGGAATGACAGGTGTGGGGATCCCCTGGCAAAAATTCTAGCCTCTCTTTCCCTCATTTTCATGCAGACCTGGCTTGTTGGTGCTTTTAAACTGAAGTCAAATATCTAGGCAGGGAAAATCATCCCTTAAAGGCTGTCATTTCTCGGACAGATGTGTAGATTGTATAAGCACTACCACAGTCAACGGGGAATGTTTCTGTCACTGAGGACTTCCCTGGCTCCCTACTGTGGCGGAACCTCTTTCCTTGCCCCAAATGCTGACACCTCCTGCCTTTGGGCCTTTTCTTGAATGTCACAGGGATGGACTTTGACAGCATGGAGCCTTTGTGTCTGGCTTCTCTCCCTCCAAGCTCCGCTGAGTATATCCGTAGTTAGGCCCATTTTCCCTGCAGAGCAGTAGCCGCGATGTGGTGCTGACACATTTGATCTGCCCGTTCACTCCTTGGAGGACATTGGAGTTGTCTCCGGCGTGGGGTTCTGCTGAGTGAAGCTGCTGTACCTGGTGTGCAGGTCGGTCATCCGTGGACGTGCTTTCACTGCTGTCTGGGAAATGCCCAGCCGTGTGAGTGCTCTGTCGTATGGAAGGTGTTTGGTTTTGTAGGAAACTGCCAGCCTGTCTTCTCCTGCCTCCCACGAGCAGGGTGAGAACACCTTTTACATCTCTGTGTTTTGGTGGCAAAGACACGTGTGTGATGGAGACAACACAGCAGAATGTCACATGTTGCCTCTGTGCTCCATGGCATGAGTTTAGGTGATATATGGATGATCTTTTCATATTTGATGGTTACATTTTAATGTGCATTTAGAAAATGTATTTAGCATGCTGGGTGTGGTGGCGCACGCCTGTAATCCCAGCACTAGGGAGGCTGAGGCAGGAGGGTCGTTGCGAGTTTGAGGCCAGCCTGGGCTGCAAAGTGAGCTCAAGGCCAGCCTGAACTGCATCGCTAGACCCTGTCTCAAAAAGACAAAAAAAAAAAGAAAAAGTATTTAGCACTCCAAACGTGTGATTTCCTTGCTATTAATACTTAATGGTTAATGGTGCTGGTCCTGAAACCAGAGAGATCCATTTTCTACCTGCTGTAGGACCTTGGGCAAGCGATTTGAGCTCTCTGAGGCTTAGGTCTGTCATCGATAAAATGGGTTGATCATGTCCCTCCCTACCTCATGAGTTCCCAGTACAGGTGAAGCTGGCAAGTGCATGTCGAGCTCCCAGTTCAGAGCCTGAATGTGGACATGCTTGGAGAGGACTGCCATTCGTACTGGATGATGTGGGGGGTGTGTTCTGTGTGTATCATTTTGTATAACCGCGTGGGCATGAATACACGTGCAGTGCACAAGATCCATGTGCACGCGGGGCTCCTGGTGTCAGGGCTGAGGAAGGAACAGGAGCCCTCCCTCTAGCGTTGCTGGGATTGCCGTGCGTCCTCATGGGTGTGAGCGTGTGCTCATGAGTGGTCCTTGGGAGCCTATCTGGCTGGATGCCTCTGGGCCCCCCTCGTCATCCGTTCTGCTGTGGATGAGGGTGTGGGCCCCTTGCTGGTCCTACTCTCCACCCCACCCAGCCCTGGGACTGATGGGGGAGCTGTACTCTGGGTCCTCCCTATGGATGGGAAGCCCTGGGGAACGTCCTTCCAGGACTGGATCTCTGGCCCCTTAGTTGCCACTGTATTTGCTCAGAGTCAGTGTTTTCTGGACTTTTAACCAGGACCCCAGGTCCCCCACAGGGTGGGTGGGGAGGACAGGAAAGGTTTTGAAGTTGAGACTGCAGTTGGTCCATGGTCCTCAGTAGAGGCGACTGCAGAGGACAGGCTCTGCTCAGCAGCTGAGCTCAGTGGGTTTTTTTTTTTTTTTTTTGGTTTTTCTCCGGTACCAGGAACCGAACTCACGACCTTGCGCTTGCCAGGCAGGCGCTTTTGCCGCTGAGCTAAATCCCCAGCCCCGTCAGTGGTTTTTAAAAGTTGACTTATTGTCAGATATGTGGGCCAGGCCTATAATCCTAGCAGTTGGGAGACCGAGACAGGAGGATTGAGTTGGAGGCCAGCCTGGGCAACTTAGCAATACCATGTCTTGAAAAACAAAAAGCCAGCCAACCAACCAACCACCCACCAACCAACCCACCAACCAACCTACCAACCAAACAACCAACCCACCAACCAACCCACCAACCAACCCACCAACCAACCAACCCGCCAACCAACCCACCCACCCACTCACCCACCAACCAACAAACCAACCAACCAACCAACCCACCAGCCGACCTACCCACCAACAAACAAAAACAAATACGACCAAACCAAGCACTCACCTTTATTGAGGTCTAATTGCTGTTTACTAGACTGCATGCATTTAAAGTGTACAGTGTGATGTGTTAAACTTGGGCATACACCCGTGCAGTTGTCACCACCGCCAGGGCGAGAGGGTCACCCCACGTGTTGCCTCCTGCTCCTCGTAGCCCCCTTGGCCTTGCCCGGGGCACCCTGCTTTTGATCACTGGAGCTTGGTTTGCCCTTGGTAGAGTTTGATGCAGTGGCAGCAGCAGAAGAAGAGGCGGGCAGGAAGGGAGCGGAGCGTCTGCGGTTCCTCCGTGGCTTGTGCACCTTGTTTGTAACTGCTTGAGGTGCTTGTTGCTGTGCAAAACATAGCTCGTTGCCCGTCACTACTGAGCACAAGCACGGATGTGCGCATCCATCACCCACGCACACACTGGCAGGTCTTCCTCCTTTACACTCTCACTTCTACGTATGGATGCACCCTCAACAGCGTGCAGCGCAGCTTTTCTGCAGCTGATATTTTTTGAAACCAAGAATCAAGCTGTGTCCTAGGCCAGCCCCTAGCCCAAGGAGTGCTGCACTTGTGGGGAGCACCTGCAGCCAGCGCCACCCTCTGCCCTGCACTGCAACTGGCCCGTTCCTGGAATGATCTCCCCTCTCCTGCACGGTCTGGGCCACTCGGCTTCTTCCAGGAAGCCTCCCCAGCCTCCCTGGGCACCTCTGAGCAATTGCAGCCCGACAACATGATGCCTTTCAAAGCCCTCGCAGGTCAGGCAGTTCTAGAACATCTTGTCTCTTGGGTGAGAGCAAGGCAGGCCTTCCCTGTGCCACCCCCTCCTTAGGGCCTGGCATGCTGAAGCTGCTCCAGCGAGGCCCCGGCCTGGGCAGGGTTTCTGGCTGGCCCCTGGATGGAGACACTGGTGCTGGCCTCTGGGAGGAGAGGGGAGGAAAACACAGAGAGAGGCAAGGAGATGATGCAACCCAAAGCAGCCGCCGGGGTGCATGTCTCGCCCTCCTGCTCCGGGGTTCCTCTGCCTGCTCCTCCCGCACGTCCTGGCTGTCTCCTCCCCCAGGGAGGATGGCCGGGCTGGGGAGACCCATTGCTGACCAGCAGCTGTCTGCATTATTAAGCTCCCGTCTCAAATGGACTCAGACCCGAAGCATCCCAGAACCTCTGTCGCATTCTGAGGCTCTCTACCCCTGTACCTCCTCCTTCCCGCCCTCCGTGGCTCTCCTTCCTCAGGATGACAGGGTGGGCGTCCTCCTCTTGGGGACTGATGGGCACAGATCTTGGGGAGGGAGGGGACACCTCCCAGTCCCCAGCCCCGGTCGCCTTGCTGCCCACTGCCGAGAGAGGCAAGTGAGCTCCCCAAAGCCACGCAACCAGCGAGTGACAGGCAAGCCACCAGCTCCCGGGGCTGTGCTCTTTCCTCTCCTGCCCTGTCCCCCGGACGCCACTCACATGTCTGCTGGGAAGCTAAGTACTTCTCAGGGTCTTTAGTGTGCTAATGTGGAACCAGTTTGTTTTTGTTTTTGTTTTTGTTTTCCGGTATCAGGAATCGAACTCATGACCTTGTGCTTGCCAGGCAGGCGCTGTGCCGCTGAGCTAAATCTCCAGCCCCAGTCACATGTCTGTAAAGCACCTGCTCCTCAGCTGTGCTCTGCGGCGCTCAGTCCTGTCCGGGTCCAGCTGTCTGTGGAGGAAGGCACAGAGCGTCGTGCGGGAGGAGGCCCCGAGGGCGTGTGTGGTGGGTGCGGTGCCCCTCCTGGTCAGCAGCGGCCCCCACCATCACCCCGCCCCCTGCAGCCCACTCCCAGCGCCGCCGCCGTGTCCTCTCCCTCTTCCTGGAGGCCCTCAGGAGACTTGGTCTGCCTGTTCATCCTGCGGGTGGCTGTCTCGCATGCCGTTTTTCATGGTGATTTCTGTCCCATCTGTCTCTTCCTGGGCTTTGGGTTCCGGGAAGATAGGACCCAGTATGTTTCATGATTGTAGCCCCGGTGCTTAGGACAGGGCTCTGTGCTCCGTAGACATGGAGTGGATATTTGTGGAATAAGGTAAATTAATAAATAAGTGGCAGTGGGGGTGAGCTGTCACAGCGGCTAATGGCGGAGGTGGGTGTGGTGCATTGACACGGAGGCTGAGACGGATGGTAGCCAAGACAGTGGTGGTGAAAGTGGCCACGGCGGATGGTGGCGGTGACGGCGACGGCGACGGCGGAGGTGGAAAGACTGAGCTGTCCTACGCCGCCGCCCTCATTTCTGTCTAGGGGCTCCTGGGCTGGCTCTGGACCCGTCACGTTCTCTGATTCTGTGGCCGATTCCTTTGCAGACTCCATCGGGGGCTCCTTCCCCGTCACTTCTCACCGATGCCACCACAAGCAGAAGCACTGCCCCCCGGTGCTGCCTGGTGGGGGGCTCCCGGCCACGCCGCTGCTCTTCCACCCACACACCAAGGGCTCCCAGATCCTCATGGACCTCAGCCACAAGGCCGTCAAGAGGCAGGCCAGCTTCTGCAACGCCATCACCTTCAGTAACCGTCCGGTGCTCATCTACGAGCAAGTCAGGCTCAAGGTGGGCCCGCGTCCCCGGCCTCCGACCTTCCCCGTGAAGCCAGGGCCTGCCGTGGGCGCCCCCGGCTGCCCCTTCTCGCTCCTTCCTGCTGCCCGCTTCCCTCTTGCTACTCCCTCCCCAGCCTTGTGCTGACGAAGGAGGAGTGGGCCAGGCCCGGCCTCGGGAGCCTGGCTGCCACCCCCCTGCAGGGCTCCCTGGGGAGGGAAGGCAGCGGAGTGGTGGGAGCGCTGGCCGTGGGACACGCTTGGGAGTCACTGGGGGTGGTCTGCGCGGAAGGGCGCCCCTTCCCCGTGGTCCGAGGGGAACAGCCGGCCTGAGGCCACCTCCTGCCACCAGATCACCAAGAAGCAGTGCTGCTGGAGTGGGGCCCTGCGGCTGGGCTTCACGAGCAAGGACCCATCACGCATCCACCCGGACTCACTGCCCAAGTACGCCTGCCCTGACCTGGTGTCCCAGAGCGGCTTCTGGGCCAAGGCGCTGCCCGAGGAGTTTGCCAACGAGGGCAACATCATCGCCTTCTGGGTGGACAAGAAGGGCCGCGTGTTCTACTGCATCAACGAGTCGGCCGCCATGCCCTTCTTCAGCGGGGTGCGCACGGCCGACCCGCTCTGGGCCCTGGTGGACGTCTACGGCCTCACACGGGGCGTCCAGCTGCTAGGTGAGTGCCCGCCCTCCTAGTGCCCATGCACTGGGCCCGACTGCGCCGGCCTGGCAGGTGGGAGGCTCCACCCAGACTAGCGTCGGCCTCAGGAGCAGCTCTGGGGCTCCCTTCCTCCCACTGTGGCTTCAGCAAGGGAAGCCAGGTGCGGGGGCCCCTCCTCAGCCCTCAGCTCGTGCTTGGGCAGTGCACGACTCCACCTCAGGACCCATCCCCAGGAGTCTTCACTGTTGACTGGAATGACCCCGGGTGACAGAGGCCTTAGCACGTGCCAGGGACTTCCGTGTTAGCTGTTCTCACAGCGGTGGGGAATCTGACTCCATTATTGGTGCAACAGAGCTGGAGACCTGAGTGTGAGGAGAATGAGGGTGTGGGGGAGCCAGCCCTCTGTGCTTCTGTCTGTCCAGTTCCAAGGTGAGCTCCTAGCCCCAGGCCTGTGGCCTCCCGGGGGCCTGGGCTCCAACCCACCCTAGTGCTTTTCCTGCCGGGCTGAATCCAGAGTGCTCTAACCCTGAGCCCCATCCCCATCCCTTTTTATATTTTATTTTGAGATGGGGGTCTTGCTAAGCAGCCCAGGCTGGCCTTGGTCTTGCCGTCCGCCTGCCTCAGCCTCGCAAGTAGCTGGGATTACAGGTGTGGCAGTCACACTGGCTAGTGCTTTCTGCAGGGACGCCGGGTTAAAAGTGACAAGAGCAGAAGGCGTGGAGGGGCTGAGACTGTTCAGCTGCTGCTGGGTCCCTGAGTAAACGAGGCTCTCACAGGGGAAGAAGAGGGCGGACATCCTTGCGGGTAGGAGGAGGAGTCAGGTGCTGGCTTGGAGCACTAAGGTACAGGCTTCCTGGCTACAGTGTGCCTGCCAGGGCTGCAAAGGGCGCAGACAGCCTGGGACACCGCGGGGGTGGCACAGGGAGCTGGTGTGGGGGTGGGAAGAGACGCCAGGCTGTGAACCCCCATCTGGCACCCTTCCCACTGGCTGTACTTGGGCACGCGTGCTGAGTGTGTGTGTGAGCACATGTGCGTGTGTGCGAGTGTGCATGCATGAGCGTGTAGACTCGGGGCACCGGTCAGCGCCTTACCAGCCTCAGCTTCCTGGTCAGGAACATGGGCTGGTGGGCAGCTGATGTCAAATTAAAGAGGCCGAGGTATGCTCCCCAGCACCTGGTCCTCTGTGTCCCAGCCCTTCCTCTTCTCCTGGAGATTTCCCTTTTCTTTCTGACTTCAGAGCCTAGAAACAGTAAAGCTTTTCTAAAATACTTTTATATGAGTAAAAAGACAGTGAAAGTAAAAACAAAGAAATGAGTAATCGGAAGCCTCCAAACGTCGGGAGGCTGTTTTTATTAACAGTTTAGGAACTTTCTGTTTTCCAAGTCAATAGAAGTATGTCTGCATTCGTGCTGACAAATTGAGAGTCTGAATCGGGCTGCGCCGGGTGTCAGCCACCGAGGAAGGTGCCCGGGCGGGCTGGGGACAGTCGGCTCCCCAGGACCCCTGACCTTGGTGCTCCTGCCAGCCAGGGGTCGATTGTTGAGCTAGAGCTGGACCTTGGATTCGGTTTCCTCGCCTGTGTAACGCTCTCTGGGCTTTTGGAGGCCTGAGACACTGGCTTCAGAGGCGCCAGACATACAGGAGGTGGCCAGCGGCTGCCACCTTCCTCTCCAGTCCCGGGGAGCGCCCCCATCCCGCGCTGTGTGTCCTGGGGTGCATCCTTGTGTGGAGGGGTCTCAAGCTTGAGTCTCAGCTCCAGCCTTGCCAGTGTGGCCTGAGCACCAGGCCCCTTGTCGGTGCAGAGGCTGCGGCCTAGCCCAGGGCTCTGTCGCATCGGGGAGACAGACTGGCGCTGCTCTTGCGAAAGCCAGTCTGCTGGGGGGCAGCGACATTTCCGACTTTGCCTGAGGGGTGTTTGCAGGGCGGAAAGGAGCGAGCAGGACAAATGGCAGGACGGGGACTTGTTAGCTGGGGAAGAGAGCCACGGCTGGGGGCCCAGGCCGCCAGCCCCGCCTAGGCAGCCCCTGGTTGGCCGGGCAGGCGCTAGGGACACAGCGGGGCAGAACCAAGGGAGGGTAGTAAATCGCTGAGCGCTGTGGTCATCGGAGCCCTTCCATCCGCCGAGATGCTTCCACCCAGCAGCTCATTTAACCTCTCAACAGCAGGCCCAGAACAGAGAGTTTTTTCTCCCCATTTGGCAGGGAGAAAACTGAGGCCCATGTAGGGATGTGGCTGAGCTGGGACTCGCACTGGGTGTTCTGAGCACAGAAGGGAAGCCCTTCCCCTCATGCACAGCAGCAGGCAGGAAGTCAGAGCGGGCTGAGGTCGGCGAGAGGACGGAGTCCGGGAGGGCTTCTCGGAAGAGGAGGCTGGGGCTGTGCTGACGCATGCCGTGAAGCTCCGGGCAGGTGGGAGTGGGGCAGTGGGCCAGGTGACATGGAGCTGCAGCCCTCGGGGGCCACAGAACAACCCGCAGGGCCCAGCCTGGGGCCAGAGCGCAGCAGCCTGCCACAGCCTGGCCCCATCCCCTCTGTGACTATACATGGGTTTGAGCGGAGCGTGGCGGGCAGTCACCCTGGGCTGTCCGGGAGGCGCCCCATGGACCCGATAAGGCCGAGGCCCCAGCTGATCCTCATCCCAGCCATAAATCATTATAATCCCTGGGCATTTTCAAACGCTGACTATAGCCCCTACATTCAATTAGTAGATTAAACTATCTTTTCAGTTTGTTCTTCTTAAATTGATTTGTGTGTGTGTGTGTGTGTGTGAGAGAGAGAGAGAGAGAGAGAGAGAGAGAGAGAGAGAG